TTAGTGAAGCTGCCCTGGAATTGGTGACCTCTAATGTTTGTCTAGTGTACCCACAAACCACATCCCCATTCTTTACCAAAATTTTCCAGCTTTTCAAGTTCTTCCCTTCTTGTTAGCACACAGAACTGCACTTGAAAGATTTGCAGGAAGAGATCTAGCACTCCCGCTTTTCTGAAAGCATGGTTGTGTGCGTAACCTTATTTCTGCTCTTCAGGCATTTACAGAAAATGACATTTTTTGTTACTTTACAGCTGTCATATCAGTTTTATTTTTCAGAGCCCCACACTTCTCTACAGCTCTTCCTGTACGCTCACCTCATGGCACCAGGTAGACATACATTTCATCAACCAGTTTCTCACAGACTCAATTGTCACGTTTTTTTTCAGGACTGGTCCCTGTGTTTATCTTTCTCTCTCTGGTCAGGTCTCTACTATCTTTTTTTGCAGTTATCGTTGTGTGAATTGGAGTCATAAAAGCCACTGGTGAACAATTATCTTGACCAGAGGAGCAGTTTCTTACCAGTATTAGTCTGTAATCATTAATTTCATAAACAGAAGTACTGCATTCCACCAGCTGCAAGACTCTCAGGAATCACTTTTACTACAGGTAAACCAGAGTCACGTGTATGACGCCTGGTTGACTTGAAAATGTCTTGCTTGATACTATTTGCACAGAACTTTTAAAGGTTGTATGTGAGACCCCACCTGCAGTGCTGCCTCCAGTTCTGGGGCCACCAACAGCAGAAGGACATGGACCTACTGGAGCCAGTCCAGAGGAGGCCACGAGGATGATGCGAGAGCTGGAGCACCTCTGCTGTGAGGACAGGCTGAGAGAGTTGGGGCTGTTCAGCCTGGAGAAGAGAAGGCTCTGGGGAGACCTTCTAGTGGCCTTCCAGTACCTGAAGAGGCTCCAGGAAGGCTGGGGAGGGACTTGTAACAAGGGCAGGGAGTGACAGAACAAGGGGTGATGGTGTTAACCTGGAAGAGGGGAGATGGAGATGAGATGTGAGGAAGAAATTGTTTGCTGTGAGGGTGATGAGGCACTGGCCCAGGTTGCCCAGAGAAGCTGTGGCTGCTCCTCCCTGGAAGTGTTGAAGGCCAGGTTGGATGAGGCTTTGAGCAACCTGGTCTAGTGGAAGGTGTCCCTGCTGATGGCAGGGGGGTTGGAACTGGATGAACTTTATGTCCCTTCCAACCTATGCCATTCTGTGACTCTATGATGAACATCCGTATGTGATTTTCCGTATGTGAAAATCGATGGAGAGGGAACAGTGTCTCTAACTGTGGAGAATTTCAGACCCTTCTTCAATTCTTCCTGAAGAACTGTGCTCATGGCTTGCATTTGATCCTGTGATTTCAGTCTGCCCAGACAGTGACACCATCTATCAGTAACTGTGCTGTCGCACTGCAGCTGAACATGTGGACTGGTGCCAGCAGGGACAGCGTGAGCCGGATTGTTTTACATGAAGCCAGTGAACCTGTCGGTCAAGCATTTCTCTTCCAAGTATAGGCTTTGAAAATGGAAGGTGAATCAGTGTCACCTATGTCCCAATGCCTCAGTGACAGTCATTTTTTTTCTTTAAACTTATAAGAAAGGTCCATTCTCAGGGGTTTGTTTTTTTTTTTTCTTTGTTAATGATAACCACTGCCTATCTTTGAACCCTCCAGACTCTGAGGCATTTTCCCAAATTCATAAAATCATAAAATTGTTTTGGTTGGAAAAGCCCGTTAAGATCATCGAGTCCAATCATTAACCCAACACTGACAAGTCCCCAACTAACCCATGTCCCTCAGCACTATGTCTACACGACTCTTCAATGCCTCCAGGGATGGGGACTCCACCACTGCCCTGGGCAACCCCTTTCAATGCCTCTGAACCCTTTCTGCAAAGAAATTCTTCCTCACATCCAATCTCAACTGCCCTTGGTGCAACTTGAGGCCATTTCCTCTTGTCCTGTCACTTGTTCCTTGGTTGAACAGACCCACCCCCACCTCTCTGCACCCTCCTTTCAGGGAGCTGGAGAGAGCCAGAAGGTCTCCCCTCAGCCTCCTTTTCTCCAGGATCAACAACCCCAGTTCCCTCAGCCATGAACTCATCACACTTGTGCTCCAGCCCCTTCCCCAGCTCCGTTGCCCTTCTCTGGACACGCTCCAGCACCTCCATGTCCTTCTTGGAGCGTGAACTGGAATTTCCTATTATCCATAACTGCCCAGCATCGCTTCCTGATGGAGCAGTAGTGCAAATCCCACAGCAAAGAGCCAGGACTGGCAGTTTGCAGGCTGCCCAGAGTGGCGCTCACCGAACAGCACTCACCAAATGGCGATCACCAATGGCACAGCTCATGGCTCTGTCCCACTTCCCTCCCCAACCAGCAAAGGAGAAACAGAAGATCACTCTCCAGCCATTCCCTTCCCACATACACACCGTGAATATTTACATCCTATTACCCCCTGAATTTCCAAGCCAGAGGTTTGTTGTGCTAACAAATAGTCTGGTCTCCTGTCCCTTACCCCAGCCCCTTGTCCTCCCCTGTCCCTTAGTGCAGGGCCAGCACAGCCCTCCCATGACCTGTTTAACGTCTCGTTCAGGGAGCGCAGGGAGATGCTGGCTTTAGCCATCTTCCTGGAGAACACGACAAGAAGAAATAAACACTGGAGAGGGCTGGTCCTCCTTCCTGAAGCCGGCAGCAACAGCAGGGAGAGGGGATCTGAGTCCTGCTGGAGGCTGTTTGTACCGGGGCTTTTTATAGACACTATATCCAAATATAGGTCATAGATGCACAGACACATGTGGGTGAACTTACCACATATGGAACTACGTGTCTGGATCATGTCCTCTGTCCCACTGATCCTGTTCCATCTTCATACATAACATTTAGAGGTGACACAAAAGGGGGTACCTACACTCTTCTGCTTTTTTTGCGTGTTTTGGTTTCATTTTGCTGTTGTGCCCACCAGTTTGTGCCTTGGGCTGAAGCTTCCTGCTGTTGAAGGCTGTACAAGAGAGCGCTTTCTTGCTTTTTCTTTTTCTGTTTAAAAGAACGAGTTTTATTTGGGTTTGTATTTGGTATTGGTGTTGTTGATCCTGGAGAAAAGGAGGCTGAGGGGAGACCTTCTGGCTCTCTCCAGCTCTCTGAAAGGAGGGTGCAGAGAGGTGGGGGTGGGTCTGTTCAACCAAGGACCAAGTGACAGGACAAGAGGAAATGGCCTCAAGTTGCACCAAGGGCAGTTGAGATTGGATGTGAGGAAGAATTTCTTTGCAAAAAGGGTTCAGAGGCATTGGCAGGGGTTGCCCAGGGCAGTGGTGGAGTCCCCATCCCTGGAGGCATTGAAGAGTCGTGTAGACATAGTGCTGAGGGACATGGTTTAGTCAGGGACTTGTCAGTGTGAGGCTAATGATTGTACTTGATAATCTTAAAGGACTTTTCCAGTCAAGGTAATACTGGGATAGCTAAACCAAGACAGTTGGAATCTCTTCCATAAAGGATGGACAGCCAGCACAGACTGGCTAAGGATTTTCACGAGCTAGGTGTCCAAAAAAAATGAGCTGGACATTTTTCCATCAAAAAGAACCAAAGGCAGCAGATAGATAATGTGTTTCTGGTAACAGCACAGCTGGTGAAACCAGAAGGCACAAACCCCACCTCAGTGAAGCAGGTCTTCAGCCAGTACCAGGCACTCAGTTTTGTGAAAGATTAAGGACAGCCTGAGGGGAAAAAAAAGAGGGTTTTTTTTTTTGTTTTAATAATAATAATGGTTTCCATGGGAAATCCAGCATGAATTGAGCACATCAAGAGCTACAGCATTCCCGCTTAGTTCTGTTCTCCCCACTGTCAACTTGCAAATTAACAGATGTTTCTAGCAAGCCAGGTTCTCCTCAAAGCTTTGGGAAGACATTGGAAGTGGCCATTGGAAGTGACAAGGAAATGGCCTCAAGTTGCACCAAGGGAGGTTTAGATTTGATCTGAGGAAAAACTTCTTCACCCAAAGGGTAGTCAAGCACTGGAAGGGGTTGCCCAAGGAGGTGGTGGAGTCACCTTCCCTGGAGGAATTTAAAAGATGGGCAGACAAGGTGCTGAGGGACATGGCTTAGAGGTGGAATTGGCAGTGTTGGGTTTATGGTTGGACTCAGTGATCTTAAAGGTCTTTTCCAACCACTATGATTCTGTGATTCTGTGAAGTGTTTGGGTAAGGTGGAGATGTGCCTTTGTCCCCTCCCATTCTCCCTGCGCTGGGGTATACGCTTCTTTACACAATTTTCTGTCACTTTGGTGATATTAGAGCGAGTATAAGCACAAGAGAGCAGTGGGAGAGAAAGCGTTTTATTCAGACAAGTGTAATAGTTATTTTTCCCTGGGATAAACAACTAAATGCACAAGACAGCTGACCTGTTAAACAGATGTTAATATTTTCCCCTGCTCCTTTGTTTACTGTAGTGTGAAAAAATCCAGTTGGCAATGACAGTGAAACTAATTTGATTACTCATGAGTTGATGCTTCTCTAGTCTTACATGCAGCTGCTAACAAACTAAGGAAGAATGTATTTCCAGTACGGCCAGTTTACGCTAACTGTGACACAATTTAATGGGGAGAGCAATGCCAAGCACTGCAATTGTTCAAAATGCAAGGAGCTTGGGCGGTGACATCTCTTACTGCTCAGCATCCTCCTTTAGCATTAGGGGTGTCCCCGTTAGCATGAATGTCTTCCTCCAACCTTAATTATGTCAGCTTAGTCAGGAACAAATATCCCTAGATCCACTGAAACCTGTTTCACTTAAATTCAAGAAGCAAACTACCAACCCTGCAAGAAACAGCTGATACCAACAGCTGCTGAAATACATAACGTGAGGCCGGTTAGATGGTGAGGACTCGCGTGAGTACACAGCGAATCCCTCCCCCTTTCGAAGGACGCAGAGGGTTTCACTGTCCAGTTCACTGGGACTTGTTTCAAATGCTCTGAGAAGTGGTTTTCCCCCACAAATTTCTTCAAACATCTCGGTGCCTAGGGTTCTGGCAATGGATACACAGACACAGAACTACTCTGATCAACAACTAATACTCTCTTGGAGCCTTTGATCTCCATACACGAGATCCAGTTCACCTTCTCCCCGTGCTCAATGGTTAGCTTTGGTAAAACTCTGGCATGTTCATTTGAAGCCACTTTGTTGAGCTTCCCATCTTTTCTGGTAGATGCAGGTGCTTGGGCCTTCCTCCTCTGGAGAGATTTTGCTGGACTTTTCTGCTGCTTTCCAATGACGCTGCTGACATCCCAGAGCAAGACTTTCCCATCGTTTCCTCCAGTCAACAACCAGTACGCTTCTGGCATACAGAGGACCTGCGATACTCCCAAGCTGTGAGCTTCAAACTCCAACTCGCGTTCAAACTTGACACCAGTGACCCTGAATATCCTGACTTTACCATCTTGAGCTCCGCAACCAAAGATGTTGCCGCACGATGCGACAGACAGGGAATGTGCAAGTGGCGGGTTAAAGAACTGGCCAGCTGACTGTAGATTGTCTTCCTCCGTTTCACACTCCTGCAGGTTTGTGGACCACAAGGGGCGAGCTTTCTGCAGGTTCCACAGCATAACCTTGGGAAAAAAGTATGAACCAACAATTTGTCCATCAGATCTTTCACCAACAGTAAAAAAACCCCAACCACACTTCTTGCGCTAGCAGAGCAAAGGCTGTGCGTGAGTGCAAGAGATGCAAGATGTGTTGTGAGGATAAATACAGCAAATCTTTAGGTCATGCTTTCATAGAATCAGAGAATGTTGTGAGTTGGGAGGGACCCACAAGGATCATGGAGTCCAACTCCTGTCCCTGCACAGGACAATCCCAACATTCAGACCATGTGTCTGAGGGCCTTGGCCAAATGCTTCTGCAATCTTGTCAGGCTTGGTGCCATGAGCACCTCCCTGGGGAGCCTGTTCCAGTGCTCCACCACTCTCTGCTTCAAGAACCTTTTCCTCAGGGCCAACCTCACCCTCCCCGGCCCATCTTCCTGCCATTTCCTCTGCTCCTGGCATTCGTTGGTGGCCAGAGAGAAGAGATCAGCGCCTGCCCCTCCTCTTCCCCTTGGGAGGAAGTTCTAGACCACGATGAGATCTCCTCTCAGTCTCCTCTTCTCCAGGCTGAACAAACCAAGCAATTTCAGCCTCTCCTCATATGGCTTCCCCTCTAAACTCTTCATAAATTTGGTAGCTTTCCAAACCCTCACGCTGCCCAACTGAGCAGAGTCAATGACTCACAACATGGATGAAAAAGCTGTTCTAAATGCTTCTGCATTAATCTCAGCAGTAGTAATCATGCTATACTGCACATCAATTATTTAAAAGGATACAAAACACTAGCAGAAAAGAGAGATCATTATCATTCTGAATTTTAGTTCTGTCTCTGCTATGTACTTGTCCTAAAATAATCACTTCCATGAATGTGTTTAAAAAATGGAACAGCAAAAAGCAAATAGTAGTTCAGTCCCCAGTGTTTAAACAGACAAGTATGTATTGTTTTTTATGTCCAATGAGTAAATCTGGTTCGTGCTGTTACCGTAGTGAGGTAGGGCGTGCTTTTCCTGATGAGATGGTGGGAGGTTGTGCTTTTAGACTTGCTTTTAAAATGCCACCCCACCTCCGAGCCCCTCATGAAGCAAAAACTGTGCCTTCAAATGGATCTTGCATCTCTCATACAGCAATTCAGGTACTACAGATTTACACCGCGCCAGCTAAAAATAATGCCCTCAATTCTTTTGTAGGATCTGAATTAATGATGAGCACTTTCAAGGCCAACAGATATGAAAGCACAAGTTAGTGTAATGCAGTACTGGTGTACTAAAAAAAAAAAAAAGCTACTAAAAAGCTAAGGATTTTTTAATCAAAGCTTTGATTTGTTATTAATAAAGATATTCCTCCACTAGTCAACTCCAGTAGAAAGTACAGGAGTCTTTAACTTCGGGCCACAAAAGAGTTGTCACACTGGCTCTATGTCTCTGGAATCCAAATCACACTAAAACATCCAAAATATGTTGTTCCCTGTCACTTTTCTGTTTTAACAACTGCTGTTGCAACTACATTAAAACTACTCTGCTACCAACAAAAGGGAAAACTTGCCACGACAACTGTGCAGAATAAATCAGAGAGGCTGGGTCCTAATGCTGAAGGCAAATACTCCTGTTTCCATCACAGACAGCACTGCAACAGCTTTAGCAATGCATCAAGTGCTAACAAGTTTTCTGCAAACTAAGCATTTTCCATTCTCCCTAAGCATTTTCCCTGTTTCCATGGTACTTCTGAAAAAACTCCAGCAAACTAAATTGCAGGTCTCATCACCTACGGCTTCACTGAGGGCTTGACATGTGAGCCCAGAATGTGGCTTGATGCTTGTGGAGTTTGTAGCCTGTCCAAGGATGTGTTGCAGCACAGCATTTCAGAGTACTGCAGCTCAGCTTCTTGCGAAACCACGTATCTTAAAGCCAGACTTGATGCAGAAAAATGCTCTTTTCATTGCACAAAACCACACTAATATCACACTAATAACCTACTGTTTTAGGATACTGACTTTCACCTAAAAAGCAACTTGCTGAGCTACAGTAATCCATACTAAAACTAAAAAGTCACTAAAAAACGACAGTTCACTCGCACAGAAGTGGTATGTAAATGGTTACAATTCTGATAAAAAATGTTTACAGCCATAGGCTTGTGAATCTGCATTTAGGGAGGCAAAATAAGCTAGCCAACTCAGGTGCTGAGCATTTACTCCTCTCTGACTAACACTTTGGTACCTCTGAAAAGAAGTTTCTCACAGCATTTCATTTAAAATCCTACATCCATCTTTTAGTCAACTTATGAATAAAAAAAAAAAAAATAGAATTTGGAAAAGTTCTGAAAATTTGGCAAAGTCTAAACCTGGCAGACTTCTATCAATCAGCCCCTATTTGGATATATATACTTACTGAATTTGTATGGTCTGAGGCTTTAATATGGAAAAGTCCACTTATACTAAATATTAAAATATATTTGTTCTAATGAGTGTTGGATGCACTTCAGTTTTAAGAACATAGGGTGAAACCGCTCAATGCTGTCAAAGCAAACTTCACCCTGATACTTCTAGAACCACAGAAACCTCTGCAGAAGTAGAAGTGATGGTTTTAATCTCAGGCTAAACCAGGAATGTGGTCAAATCTCAACCACTGGAAAGAAATTACTGACAAATAATCTGTTCTGGGTGGCCAACTTTGGCAACTCAAAACTCCATTAACTCCTAGCATGGTTTTTCTCAGAATGCTTCCACAAGTGGTATGCAAAGGACAAAGTTTCCTCTTGATGAGGACAGAGAAGCATAAAAGGCAAAAAAAAAATAATGCTTCAAAGAGGTTAATCAGAACAAAGGATAAATTATAAAAATGACTCATCCTTACAGTGATACACAGCACTTGAAAAAATATCTACATGTAGTAAAGTATTTTTCCTAGCATCCTCTCCGCTTCAAGTGTTTTGCCTTTTCCTATCACCTGCATTTCATCTGCAGTTATAATTGATTGCTTGGGACAAGAGGGAAACATGACATGAGCATGCTTTGCACTATATTCTGATTTCCCCCCACCCCACTTGCTCTTAGATTGTAAATATTACGGAAGATAAAAACAGGGGGAGGAACTGCTGAGTAGAAAATGGCACAAACAGCCTCAACACTTAAATTTCTCCGCCAAAACTAGTTTAGAATAGTTTCTGGTGACTGCAGGCTGTACAGCCTCAGTCTTGGTGAAAGTCTGTTGGTGCCTCACTACACAGGGGGGGAGTTACCGTTTTGCTTCTCTAATCACCATCTACTTGTGTGCAAATCACCTGCATGTCCAGACCACAGGAAACAAGGCTTTGAGGCCTCTGAGGTCGAAAAGCAACAGAGGAGCAGATGTTTGAGTGTCTCAAGGACCGGATGACTTTCTTGTTGTCCAAGTCCACCACCTTTATTGCCCCCGAGTCATCTGCCGCAGCCAAGAAATTGTCGGTCTCATTCACTGAGAGGCAGTTGATCTCCTCCTCATTCACGTGGAAGCGTTCAACGGGCTCCTTGAGGGATCGGACATCTAGCAAACTGATAGTTTCTCCGTGGGAAGTGTACAGTCTGGTGGGATGGCGAGGAGAGAACACCACAGAGGTCACGTCGTCTGTCTTCGGGAGCTGGAGCTGCCCTGTAGGAGTGCCTCCCCCATCCCAGAGCGTGACCTCGCCTCGCTCCGCGCCTGAAGCCACCAACCCTTCCGTGTTTACGTTCAAGCATAATATAGAGGATGAATGTCCACCAGTCCATTTGACTGCCATGTTTCAGGGACACCTCTGAAATACACAAAAAAAACCCCCTGAATTGAGCTGGTGTTGGTCTCATTACAACAAAAAGCTTATCAAAGCAACAAGATCACCCCGTTGACTGTAATGTTTAATACTTTAATCTCTAGTGTCCGATTAAAACAGGCACCTCTGCAGATCAGTACCCAAAGGAAGCTCTGGCTCAGATCAAACCAACATCAGGCACGACAGCGTGGAACGGCAGCAGTGCTGGCGTGAGTACGGTGCAGGACGTGAAGTGGATCTTCTGCTCTGATGTGGGTGCCTATGTGAGAGCTGCTTCCTCAGCAAATACAGACACAGCATGCCTGACAAAACAGGGGCACGGTTCCTAATGGGATGTACTGGAAAGGAGCAAGGGGAAGATGGCAAACTGGTAAAGTCTGTCTGCAGAGAAGCCACCCTGTTCCAGTGTGGGTGACAGCACATGCAGACATCTCTCCTTCATCCAGCTGCTGAGGTGCTGGGTACTTAGTGCCCAACATCAGTGTGTAAAGCAGTCTTGCAATACCTGGAGCAAGAAACTTGTGCTGGTGAGAGCGGGATGAGGTGATGAATGCTGAAAGTGATTGCCTTAACTACGGTTTAAAAGCAAACATTTGTGTGAATACATTTAAACTACTGCACATGTGTACTTTGTGTTCCCAAAATGAAGATAATTTTCTTGTGATTGGCAGACATGAAACAGACAAACAACGGCATCCTTTTAAAAGCAGCATTACTGGTTTAAGGCAGGTAGTTATGAGGTTTGCAACACATTTAATTTGGTCTCAAAGCACACTCATGCTCTGGGCCCTTTCCTTGGTGTGACTGCCCACAGCAGCCTGTGTGATGGGACTGTTTAGGGGATCAAATCAGCAGAAAATTAAGTGGGGGTAAAAAAATGAGCAACACAAAAGCCTAACAAGTTTTGGAGAGACCAGCAGGCTGTGGGGAAAAGGAGAGCTGATACAGCGCAGGGGTGCAGAGGGTTTGTGGGACAGAGCTATGGCTGTCCCGGCAGCAGCTTCAACTGGTTCTACCTATGGTTTTATTGCATTATTGGGCAATAAAGGGTTTATTTTATGTTTTTTCTTTTTACCATGTTATGTTTTGCACGTGATTTTTGTTAAGCCTGGTCTAAAGCGCAGCCAGAATTCCTTCAATCCACCCGGAACATTTTATCGATTAAATAAAATTACAGAAAGCGCCGGATGCCGTACCCACAACTCGGGCAGCAAAGTGGCGGCCCGCCCGTCGGGAGCTGCGGTGAATACTGCCCGGCCCGGCCCGGCCCGCCCCGGTAGGCC